CAGGTTTACTGCTTTGGGCTTTGTTTTTTTTAATAACAAAGTTTCTATCATGCGCTCCCAATCTAGTATGCATTTAATTGCTGTTGAGAAATTATGAAAAGAATTGTGTGCATATGCACACATTCAGTCTTTTTAATTGTCCCCTCCAAAGCACCCTTACATGTCTGAGAGCTATGAAAAATTAGAGTAGATAGTGCTATATTAATGCTTTGATTGAGATCAGAGATGCTTTAGTAATTGTAGTGTGATGTGATGGGTACATGAGGCAAAAGTAAGGTGTGGTTTTGTGCAGATGTGAGGTTTACCTGTAAGAGGAATGAATCCCCTTCTTCTGGCACTAGCTGATGGATCAGGTACTATCATCCCGTGCAGTTCAGAGTTGCACCATGCTTCATACCTGTAAACCTGGACCGCTGGGTACTCTTGATATGTGATGTAGAAGAAGCTGATCTGAACATCTCTGTTAGTTTCTACATGGAGGTTTACCAAGATCTTTCAAAACATTGGGCTCTTCTAGTTTGGTTTGTTTGTTACTTCAGCAAAAGAAAGAGACTTGCTTGAGGTCATTTGCTAGCAGCTCATAGGTCCTAAAGGAATAGTTATGGACAGCAAGCAGTTAAAACACACAAGCAGCTGGAAATCCAGGACATTATTTTTCATCTTTTTCCCCTTTCCTTCCCCTGTATTGTGAATCAAAGCTGTTGCAGATCAGAGCCGTTTAGAAGTTGGCCTTCTAAACCTTTCAGACTCCCTCTGTCTGGGCTAGCTATTTTGATAACCTTGCAAAATATGACATCTGTTGCAAATGCTCATGTGTATGGCACATGCTTGAAAATGTTTGGAGTTATGAATATAAAAATTGGCTGCAAGAAACTTAAGTTCAGAACAGGAGATAATATTGAGGGAGGAAATGTGATGATATGCCTTTCTAGCACCACATGTGCATACTTTGCTTCCATGGGCTGACTGTACCAAGGAATTTGCCTTGCAGTAATTCAAGAAGGGGAAAATTCAGGACTAAGACATTTGCTTAATCGAGTGAGGTGTATTTGTAGGCAGGTCAATGTGTGGAAGTTACCCCGTTACTCGGAAGGACTATAGAGGCCTTCAGTGTTGTTTGATTGAGAGACTCTGTGGTTTGGTGGCCGGAATAGTTTTGGGGACTTTTTAAGACTACGGTGTAAGAGCAGTTAATATATGTGATGATGTAAGTTTAATTACGGTGTGTAAGCCGTGAGAATACTACTCCAGTGGCTAGCTAAGTGGCTAAAGGATGCTGAATAAGTAAAGTGGTGGAGCACACACTTTGTATCTACTTGGTGGGGTTAGTTCTTCTGCACTTTCTCACAGATAATGTGTCTGGGCATCGTGTCGATCTTGCTTTTGCAAAGCTGCCATGGGTAAACAAGGAAAACGATAGCTTTGAGTCTTGGGGAAGCAATGTGTCAGGTTAACGCTCTTAGGATTTTAATGCCATTGACTTTCTGTAATAATTCTAATGGAATGTGTCAGAAGCAAACCTAGTTAGGAGTAATAAGTGTTAATTGAGCTCTCAGTTGCAATCTAAAATTGAATGCTAGAATTACTTTTTTTGAGATTTCTGAAAAGGTGGTGGGTTTTGTTTTGCATGGTTTTTTCCTTGGTTTTGTTTTTCTTTTTTCTTTTTTTTGAAAGACTTGACTAATGTGTGAAATACCTAAATGGCTGCTCTAATACACTGTTTCAGTTCTAAACTTTTGTTACTGCTGCATCTTTTTTGTTTAAAATTGCATTTTATTTTAAGAAACATCTAATTTTGTGTTTGACTTCTAGACATTTTATTTAACACTGACATAAATGGAACATACAGGGAGTCATGTTTATGATGTACTAGTAAGGTAGTATTTCTCGCTACATTATATATATATTAAGATATATTATCAAGGTATCTAGAGAAATATCAGAATCCCTAATTAAAATCCTGTGTAGGAAATGCAGGTTGTTAGCTGGAATTGTTTTTAGATGGCAGTGAACTTCAAGGACAGTGTTGGTTTTTACAGCCCCCTTGTTTCCAGCACCCTGAAAAATTTCTCAGAATTTAGAGATTGTTCTTCTGAAATGGCATTTTTAAATAGCCATATAGTAGCTGATGCATAATGAATGAACATATTGTAATGGACCAGAAAGATCTTAAAACTACATAGCCTGTCTTTCTAGACAGTGTGGATATTGCATGCTTCCGTGGAATTCAGCTTTAGCATTGTTTGGAAATGCTTTCTGAAATACCGTTATTTGACCTAGCTTGATATCCCCCCCCCCCCCCCCCCCCCTATACCTTCGCTGATTTCTAGAAGTTGATGAGTTTCTAGTTTAAATTCCTCTGTACCGTCTAACAATAGCAAGCTGTTTATGTGCAAAAGAGGCCTACTGCAAGACTTAAGAAGAATAATATGAATTTCATTCAGTGCTGTTCAAATTCAGAAATTATATATGTGGCTCACAAACTAAGAAACTTGACCTTCTTTATGCATGTTTTCTGTCATCCTTGGGCATAGCTGGGGAGAAGGGTTGACTCTGAAGATAATCTAAGAGGGAATAATTAAGAAACTGTCCAGAGGGGCTTAGTTTTTCTGTCACAAAAAGACCAAAATCCAGAATCGTCACAACCATGAACCTTGCTACTTTTTTTTTCCCCCTCTTCAGATTTGGTTCTGTGTTATATTGTCATTATGATTAAATAACTGATTTCCCTGTTAAATCTGCATTAAATGATCTGTCCTGTGAAGCCGTCTTTCACTTTGCCTATGGCATTGGTTTTGCTTGCCTATCCAACTGTTTATCTGAAAGATCCCTTCAAGTACCTACTGGAAGTAGGCTAATCCTATGAAGTATATGGAATTGGCAATTGATATTAGGGTTGCTAATGCTTCTGGTAGGCATTGTATTTCAAGTAGTGAAGATCTAATTGTGTGCATAAATAGGCTCAAAGACTTCTAAAGCTTGCTTGTATAGCATAGTGCTGTAGCTCTGGCTGGGGTTCTAGGTACGGCTATAATATTCATTATTGGCACCATACAAATACTGATCTTGCGGAGTGTTTTCTTAGGTGAGACTTTTATTTGGGTTCTGGTTTACCGTATGTAGGCCTAGTGTCTGACGTTGAAAGAATGTTTCAAAGCCTCTGCCTAGAGCTGTCCTGATCCTCTCTTTCCAAGTCCACAGAAAGTATTTTCATTATGTGCTTCTAAAGGATAAATACTATTGCTAGTGTGTTATTTCTTGGTTGAATTAATTTGTCTGATATACAGAATCTAAACATGCCTGGCTTGCTTGGTTCTGCAGTAATTTGGAAAACAGTTTAGCAGTGGGGGTATAGTAGTATTTTGCAGAGAGACTCAGTTAATGAAAAGACAAACAGAAAATTATATTTAGGACCGTTCTCCTGGCCATAGTGAATAATTAATAATACTGGAGGTGATGTAAGCAGAGTTGTGCTACATTTGGGAAGAACATTCTGGTTGTGGTATACTCCTTGTTTTTTCCGGTTGTGTTGCAGCTGTTTGCTAGTTTTCCCAATTCTACTAATGCTTATGTCCTGAAATAACTCCACTCAGCTCAGTGGGACTATCAGTAAGCCTGGGTGTTTGCAGGAGGGGATTGACTTCAGTCTGTAATAAATGCACACTGAAGTTGGAAGCACTGCTTTAAATTCTGTTTTGTATAAGAAAATAATTACTTGCATAAGGAATGACAAGTGAGATCAGCGTAGACCAACGTTTGGTTGGGTACTGGGAGAAACAGTGAAACCTCCCACTGCCTTCTGACTCTGCTTTCAGCTTAAGGTCAAAGATCTAGAAACCTTTGGTCTGTAAAGAAACAGGCTCTGTTGGTGCTCTGTACAAAGATACCGAGATACCCACTTTTTGATTGAAGCAGTGAATAATGGGGAAAATATTAAGGTGTCTTGAGTTTTGTCGGTGCTTAAGGCTTAGCAGGAACGGAGTGAGCTGGGAGTAAACATGCCTTTCTGTTACAAAATCTAAGAACTGGTCTGAGAAGACACTGTTCCTACCTACAGTATTTGCCTGCCTTAAAATTTGTAACTTAAAAGATTAGAGGCTAAATTTTACCTGTTAAACATTTGTACCCATCTGCCACTAATGTTAGAAAGCATTTGAAATGCTGAAACGCGTAACAACCCCTTTGACATCTTCTGTTATTTTGGTTTCTCCTTGGAACCTTTCCAAGCCCCATCTGTATCTTGCCCCCTATATACTTGGAAGTTAAAGAGTACAGAAGCACTGCAGATTTCAGTGACTAACATTTAGTGTGGGATGATGTGTTGGCATGCGTTAAAAATAACATCCTTTTAGTTCTTCAGACGTTTTGAGATTTAAAATATATTTATGAGGTATCATGGAGTTTTCTTTTTAAGAATAGATTATTTTTTAAATAAAGTATTAGATTGTTAGTTACTTGAATGAGAACGTGACTTACAAAAAGATGCAAACAGGTTTGGGGAACAAAGCTCACTTGAAAAAAGTATTTTTTTTCTCATAATGTTATTTGAGATGAAGAAAGTTAAGAAAAAAAATAGAGTGCAACCTTGTTTCCAAATATGCCAAAATACAAATATTTTTTACTGTGTATTTTTAAAAGACTAAATTTGGTTATGATTAGACAAGTTTATTTGCAATATAGTGGTGTAGTGTGTAGTTTGGCATAGCTTCATATTAAAAAAAAGTCTGTAATGGTTTGTTGATTACTGCCTAGGTGTCTCTAGTTCTGCTTTTGGAGCTGGTAAAATCCTTCTGCAGACTTTTTTCTTGAGACATGCATCAAACTCTGCCCAAAGACAGCATTTTTTGCTTAAGCTACCATCCAAAGTTATCAGTTATACATGTAAAAGTAAATTAATTACTCCCCTCTACACCTTTTTATGCTTTTAGTCTATTCTGCTGCAACTGTCTAAAATCCAAGTAGCTAAATTCCCAACTATTTTATCTGCCTTCCAGCATACCTCTGTGGATGGGTATACTGACCCACATGTCCAGCCTATCAAGTCAAGTAGCAGACAAAACATCCCCCGATGTAGAAACTCCATTACATCTACCAATGAAGAGCATCCTCACATTGGAAATTATCGCTTACTGAAAACAATAGGAAAAGGAAATTTTGCCAAAGTGAAACTGGCAAGGCATGTTCTTACTGGAAGAGAGGTAAGCATTTAAAAAAAAAAAAACCTGCTGTCTGTGTTTTATATTCTCTTTGGCTATCTTTATAGTAAGTATTTCTACTATTCTTTTACCTTTCTCTTCTGAATAGAAAAAGCGCATTTTTTCTCATCATAAAGGAAGATGCAAAGAGGCTGTTTCAGGATATAAGAAAAATTACCTGAGGTGCCCGAGTTTTCTCCCTCTAACCACTCACCCCTTTTTGTAAAATGTAACTTCTTGGTGAAGAGATCAAAAATTTTGTTGCTTATCAAGGGGTATTTTGGGGCTGGGAGGGGGTCCATTCATCCCCAAGCATTTCCAAAACAGAAGAGAAATCTATTGATAGATAGATTTCATCGATATTGATAGTCTATTGAATAGATAGATCTTGTGTTTGGAGGGCCTGGTTTTGCAGTGGACAGGATAACACTGTTCTGTCCAAACACTGACAGAAGTATAAAACTGGTTCCTTGGTGGTACCATCTGGTGGCAAAGTTCTGAGCTCCTGCTGGTAGATCCTAACAGGTGAGAAATTTTGCTTCATGAAATGCATAAAAGCAGACATACGTGCATGTCTTATAGGCACATCTATGCTTTTGCTCACAGAGATGCGATATATTTTTGTTCAAATATTTTTCTGAGTTTAATCATCCGTGGTTCGTTGTTTTTTCCCCCAAGGTTGCCGTGAAAATAATAGATAAAACCCAGCTAAATCCTACTAGTCTGCAAAAGGTAAGAATATACCATAACACCTGAAATTCTATAAACAGTTGAACTGTGATCTTTTATTTACTTGACAAAAATATTTGGTCCCTTTATCTTGCTAAACAAATATCTTTGTGTATGTATGACCTTGGGAGACAGTGGTATCCTGCTGTCTTTGCTATAATGTGCATGTGCCATTTGTCTGAGGGCAGTTACTCTACGTGGTTCCAGTCTAAGCATTGCTTCTTTGCTCTTCCTTCCTCCACCAGCTTTACCCCTTGCTGACAATAAAATTTGCATCTAATTAGGTACACAAGTAGTTTGTCTACATACTAAATCAAGATGTAATGCTGTAAAGGATAGTATTTTTCTTGGATTTTTCTTTAATGTAGTAATTGGGTTTTGTGGACTTACAAGAGCGCCAACTTTTATGGCTTTAATGTTTTTTTTACCTTTGTTTTTATATTCTTTCAACTTTAATAAAGTATTTGTTAAACTCAAGGGATCTTTGGCAATTACTTTTTGTGTATAGAATTGACAAAATGACTGAACGTAATCAGAACATTCTTGTTTGTTTGTGCCTGTAGATAGAAATTCAGAAGTCCTTCATAACCATTGTGATGTGTTTTAACAAAACCCTGGGGTTTTTTTGTTTAGTTTGGGGTTTTTTACTGTTTAACTATGCATATGTTTAGTTTTGGCTGAAGCACAGAAATGTTGTATTGTCCTGCTGGAGGTTGCCTGTTATAAAATTTGGGATATTTTTTGTTTACAAATACTAGACTGCTGCTGTCTGTAGCTGTAGAATGAAAGAAAGAGGCTAGGGCTTATTGCTGTTCTTTTATCTCTGGCTGCTGTGACATTTATTTTATTGTGTAACTTCGGCTATGGGGAGTTATAAACAACTTTGCTCTAATTTCTTTTTTTCTTTGATTTCTTTTAATTCTTTGATTTATTTGCTTTAATTTCTCTTCTGTAGTATTTTTGTTTGAGTATGGGTTCTTCAGGATTTTTTTTTTTCTAATTCAACCTGCTGTGCAGAGTTCATGCAAAAGCTTTGCTATCCTAAAGTCCTATATTAAGCAAATCTGTTTGCTAATATTTGAGCTTTGACAGAGCATACTGGGGAAATCCTGTGCTGCTCACGTAGCTTGTTTCCTACCTAGCTTGGTATTTATGCTTGGAGAGCTAGGCAAGTTTGTCTCATTGTTGAGCAATGAGAGGGTAAAAAAAAAAACATTAAAACTTTCTGGAAAGACTAAGCATGAGAAAATTACTTCTGGGATAATTGCTTTAATGATAGATAAGTTGTATTTCACACAAACATATTTAATAACTGGTTAAAAAAAATTAGTGTAAGCATAACTGAAATTTTTATAGCCTATACAAGATGCTGTCACACTGCACAAGTAGTACACAAAATATTCATATAATAGGACATTGCTGCTCTTAATTGTTTTTTTGACTGGGAAGCTGATACCAAAAAAAAAAACGTTTTTAGATACAGTTAGAAGCAGTTTATAGCAGAAGTAAACACTGAAGTTAGATTTAGTGATTTAACCACAATTCCATTCTTCGATAACTTCTAGAAGTATTTATCCCATGCATCTTCTGTTTACACTGGAAAGTGTGATCATTTGGTATAAAGTTTTCCTTCTAATATCTTGATTGTAATTTTCGGGGGTTTTTGTGTTTTGGGGGGGGGGGGGGGAGGGGGGAAGTCTTTGTTTTGAAGCTCTAAAAGTCTTTAGCTTCCTACAATTTTTTTAGCATTTTGAGTGAAACTGAATATTGATTCCCTGAAAGCTTTTAAGTAAGCTTTAGCACACTTTTTTGCAGTCACTCAAGCAACTGTAGTTTTTTTAAAGCAAATGGGGTGGGAGGGTAGTTTATCAGCATGCTTAGAATTATTTTTGTTAGTATTTTGATATGCCATTTGTGTACTGTAAATAAATTTAAAAAAAAAATCTTGTTCTATGAACTCTCCATGTCTCACAGTCATCTGTTTTTCTTTCTGCACTGAACTCTTGTGATTCTTTATGTACCACATAGTGTGACTGTAATGTGAATTTTTATAATTTTATCATCAGGATTGTACTGTATGGCTGTACTGTTAAGTAGTCAATTTTTCTTCAAGAGGTAACGTTGGGAAAGGGAAGCGGTGATAGTAGTACTGTTTTAATAGGAACAGAATGTTTGTAGAGAAATACTGTAGTAAGTTTCTGCAACAAAAATAGCACTCCTGAGTTTGAACCCATCTAAACTAGCGTAGTAGAGAGGACAGTCTCTCTACAACTTCGAAGCTGGTAGATTGTATGCAGATCAGCAAAACTTTTAGGCCTTCAATCACTTTTGACACACATTATTAATCAAATAAGACAAATATGTAGTGATCTTTGGTCTTGTGAATGACCCCGTGCCTTTCCTTGTTCCCTCGGTATAATATAAAGGATACCAAGTGCAAGTAGGTTTTGCTTTAGTATTTGCTACTGACCTAATTTAGGTAAAATGAATTGAGGCATCATAGCTTCTCATGCGCTGTTCTGTTTTGTAAACAGAAGTATCTGAGCACATACTTCAGCTGCTGGAAGTGTCATACAAGCTGGGTCTGTAGTTAGTCACGGGTATGAAAGCAGAGAAAGAGTTTAGTTTGTTCTTTGCCACTCTCCAATGTTATTTATGCCATATAAAATGGGCAGGGTACTCTGCAGGCATAGTTATTTTAACTTAGACCGGGAGAGATGACAGAAGTAAGCTGACCTTGTGAATTTTTAATTTTTCATCCTTGTGCATGCAATGTGATAGCCTTAAGTTATAATACACTTTTTGCTTCAGGACCTCTACCTCTTTAAACAGATAAACAATGTTGAATTAAGGGCACTGCCTTTTATTTTGTTCTCAGTTTGTTCAATATGCGGTTCCCATCTTACTCAGTTCAGAAGACAGAACTGGCTTTTTTGTGAACTTGCTGTCTTGATAGTAACACATTGTACTGACGTAGCTTTTTCCACTGTCACGATTGTAATTTGTTACCAAATGTAAGTATTTGGGTTTCATCATAACTAGAATTTATATCAAAATAGCTGTTCTATTTTCTGCATGTCTGCTACATTGAAAGTGTCATCTTGTACTGGCTTCACTAGGGATGTTTCTGAAATGGCATTCTGTTGCTCTTCTGTCAACTGCTAGTGGAGCAGAAGGTGCTTTTTTTCTTAATAGGTTTGATTAGCAAGTGGCACTTCAGATTTTTCCCTTTTTAGGGGTCAGCGGGCTTCTTTTTATTCTTTAAACATATCTAACACCTCAAACTTAGGTTTTTTTCTGTTGTTAAGAAAAGCAGAACAGAAGTAAAGAAGTAGAAGATTTGGAACAATGTCAATATGTTACCTATTGAAAGCTATGCTTTTTTGCAACATCCCTTCTCAGTAATGATTTAGAAACTGGAGAAGCATTCAAGCACATCTTTCAAAGCAAGCCAAAGCCTTGGTTAACTGAAGATTTTTAGTTTGATTGTAGTGACTTAAAATAGTAAATCTTAAACGTAGATGTCAACCTGACAGCAAGTAGAAGTGTTAGCAATGGTGTGACAGATGATCTTTGTACTTTCTTCAGTCTGTGCCCTGAAAAATGAAACTGGAAAAGCAGGAATTGAATTTTCAAGCTTGTGCCTTTTCCATCGGTACAAGTTCTACGAATTGAGTATGGTGCTGGCTGTCCTCTACTACAAGTGAAGCTATTGAGGCTACAACCCGTTTGCAACAAGGAGATGCTTGTTCAAGAGCTTTTTTTGAATGGTAGCATTCTACCAGTGAAGAGGGGTCCTAAGAATGTGGGGTGGGGTGGGGGGAGAAAAGTCAGGGAGCTCTTACACCTTCTGAGAGAGCAGTACACTGCTGCTCAAGAAAATAGAGGTGTGTGTGAATTCTGAGCGCGCTATTTTTTATCAGTAAAATATTGTTACATAATCCTGCAGCTTGCCTTGTTGCGAAAAGAGAACTAATCTCTCTGTTCTGTCCAGATTTCTATAAAACTAACAAACTTGGCACTGTAGGAAATAACGATGGTCTTGTTGCTTTCATACATCTCTTCCTTTGCGTATAGAGGTATCCTGGGTGTTATTGAGGGGTATAGTGGCTATTGTTTAAAGATATCTTGTAGGAAATAACTATGGTCTTGTTGCTTTCATACATCTCTTCCTTTGCGTATAGAGGTATCCTGGGTGTTATTGAGGGGTATAGTGGCTATTGTTTAAAGATATCTCTATTTGTAGATACATAGGTATTGGCATAAGGAGTGTTAATGACCAGCATACTTCAGGGGCGGGGGGGGATATTTATCCCAAAGTAGTGCTCCACGGAATGCAGAGTTACAATGTAAAATAATGTACCCTAATACTTGAATACTGTTAATGCTTTTTTTTTATTCAAGCGTTATCCATTGTTCAGAGATTTTCTATATCTCTATTTGTAGATACATAGGTATTGGCATAAGGAGTGTTAATGACCAGCATACTTCAGGGGCGGGGGGGGATATTTATCCCAAAGTAGTGCTCCACGGAATGCAGAGTTACAATGTAAAATAATGTACCCTAATACTTGAATACTGTTAATGCTTTTTTTTTATTCAAGCGTTATCCATTGTTCAGAGATTTTCTAGATTGTTTCTCTCGTTAGAGAAAATTGGAGGAGTGAACGTTGGCATTTTCTTAATTTGTATAAATGTGCATTTATACTGGGCCAAATAAAACCCGTGCACATCCCCTTGGACCAAATGGGCTAGGAATTACACAAGGTGTAGCATGGCTGTGTTTGTGGTCTCTACGCAGTGCTGTTCCATTATTTCAGTTCTTTCAGCCTTTCAAACAATTGCTTTCTTCCAGCCTTCCCAGGTTGGAAGGTATCTGTCACGCCAAGCAGCTTTAGCAAAGCTGCTTGACTTCAGTTACATAGCAGTATTATGGAATATGTAAGTTACATCTGCCTAATTTGCAAGATGCCTATACCTGAGTTACTTCAGAAAAGGTCTGAAAATGTCGGTTTCCAGGTAAACAACTGCTGGAAACTTGTCAGAAGCCGGTAACAACTGCAAAACATGAACTCTCAGAGGAACAGGGATCTCCCCGTGAAGAAGGCAACCTTGTGTGCTGTAGTTTCAGTAATGGGCAGGCAGCTGGGAGAGGAGTTTTTTAGGGAGTACAACCACTTAGGGTTTTTTAATCTTTTCTCAGAGCAAGCCATTTAGTCAGCAGGTACCTACAGGTAGATTCCAAGATTTCAACTATTCTTTCAATTCTTACTCTGCTGACTTCTCTCTTTCCCTGCTCTCATACGTTTGTAGGGAGGCTGATGCCATCCCGTCTGTAAAATAAAATAGCCAGTTTCCATTCAGCTTATGCTTGACATGATTTGTGTGGATGAGCATCACTGAAGATAACTTCAGCTGCTTCAGCCTTGCCCAGTTCTTGCTCTAAGCATGCAAACGCATTGCAACCAACATTAAAAATGCCTTTGAGTCAAAATCCCCAAACAAACAAGAAGACCACCTCAGAGCCACTAACCAGCAAGAAAATACCCAGATTCACCTTGTGACTTTGAGTTCATTTAGAATTTGCCTTAGAATAGCTGCTTCCTTTCAAAAGGTTGAGACTGACTGCTTCCTCTTGAGATACTCATGGTGACTACCATGGCTGTGTACCTGCTTTTGTATGAGAACATATGCTTCAGTTTTCTGAAAAATGTCTATTCAACAGGATCTATAATACAAGATGTTGTAAAAAATTTTATTGGCGTTTGTATGGAATAAACAAACCTAATCCCATACGTCGGGTCTTGGTGAGGTCTTCTATTCAGAACCAGAGCAAGTAAATGTTTCTTTCACGTAACAAAGTATCTGCATCAGGCTAGAGGTCAGTAACGTTCTGTCTTGAGGAAAATAGACTTTTATGTCCGTTTCCTGATAGGCTGTTTGTGGAAGAAAAAAATTACATATTATGTGGAACAAAATTTCATGTCACTGTGAAATCAATTTGAATCTTATACCAATTAGTAAACTTCTAAATTCTGTGAGAATATCGAATAGAATAATGCACTTTTTTTTTTTGCAATTACTATGTGCTTCACATTACATGTAAAATTGTTTCTTAATGATCTTTTTTCTAGATTTGAAATTATTTTATTTATAAAGTCTAATATTTTAATCCTGCTGATGAAGACATGCGTTCATTGCTGTAACTTTTATATCAGCATTAATACTGTTAAGTTATGAAATACCTTTCCAGTCTTTGGGCAGGAATTGCAGTTTTCCACATACCTGCTTAGAAGCTCTTCTGAAGCTGTACCATCTATTGATTTAGATTTGTTAGCTTCTGACCAATTGATATTGATTTAGCTGAGAAACTTTTTCTTGTGAACAAATTCAAATACTTAGAAAAACAAAAAAATGCACAAAGAACAGCCTAGTGTGATAGTTTTTTCATGGGAATAAGTGGCTTTATGAGGAAACAAGAATATTTGCTGAAGTTAATTCTAGTGCATAGTATTACATACCCATGTGTTACATTTTGAACACAAGCAAACTGCATCATACTGTTCATGTTTTCTCAGAGAAATGCTTTTATAGTCTTTGCTTTCTTCTGAAATTGTTTTAATGTCAAATATAAGGCAAGTGGGTAGTAACTAGCTTGAAATACTTAAATAATGTAAATACAGAACTGCAATAATATTACTTGATCAAAAGCTAAATTTCAAAAAGATGTTGTTCTATAGTCTTAACTTGTAGAATAAATGCAGAATTTTAGAAATGTTATGACTAAGTTGCACAAATGGAGTAAAATAACATCAGTGGTGTTTAAGCAAAAGAATTTTAATTTCTCTTAACTTGTAGCTTCAGCCGTCATAAAATAGAAACTGAAGTGCTACTGTTTGAGGAGGTGTTCGGTCTCTGGCTTGCATCATTGTACCCTTTTGCAAAGGTAGCATCTGAACAAATGGGACTAATTTTGAAAATGGAGGGAGAGATGTCCTCTGAGACATCAGACAAGCAAAACAGCAACAATGCACTTCTGCGTTGAGCCACGTTCCTCTACAAGGAGGACTGTAGTGCTAAGATGTTTCCAAAATGGCTAAGCATTACGCTGAAGCCAGTGAGCTTTTCTTCCTTCATTTCAGCATCCTACTTCAGTCCAATACGGGACTAAAGAGCGCGCAGCACAGTAAATAGGTTTGACAGTGGGGATATGCTGTTCACTTGAAGTAAAACAGTGCAAACTTACCACTATTGACAGCCTCAAGTATAGAGTGACAGAACTATGTAGTCATTTTGGTTTCCTTTCGTTTGCCTTCTTCCCTTTGAGCCCCTAGGTTAGTCTTGCTCCACCTCTTATTTAATCAATAAACCCATGAATGCTAGAAACTTAAAAGTGAAGACCTCTTGTTTCTGGTTTTTAAAAAAAAAAAAAAAAAAAAAAAAAAAAGTAAAACCACCATTGTCTGAAGTGTATATACTTAGGGCTATAAGTTTGTCCAATTGTTTGTAATTATGTGACTCAGGATCACAAACCAGACTTCCATCAATCATAAACCTTCAGGATTTGCCGGGGGGAGGGCGGGACATCGCTGTTTGTGACCCAGTGTAAGATTTGGTATTTGTGAGAAAAGTGAATTCGCCTGCTTCACCTCTGTGGAACGGCAGGACTTGGGGACGTCAGGATTCCTGGTATCTAATTGCATTTTAACGTTTGTGTGTTCGACTTTGTTGTAGTACTACACCTTGTATTTGCACCTACAGTTATATATGTATTCAGGGTAGTTAGCTGATCTTGCCAGTCACCAAAGAAGTCAGAGCAAAGAAATAAAAATCCTGTGTGAATAATGTGTTGGTTTTGGTCAATGTGAAACTCCAGAAAGGGCTATAAAACTTATCTGTGTCTCTTTGTATAAAGCTTAAAAATTTAGTCTTTTTTTGATATGTAGCTGGTAGAGGTTATTGTTATATAATGTATAAGATGTAGATTATGTTTTCTGGCGTTCACCGCACTATATTTATCTATATTTTATGCTAATGATATTTTCTGTGGCTTATGCTGTTCCTTTTTGCCATCTAAAATTGCGTATCTTGAATAACTTTTCCCTAATAATCACACTTTAAGAAAATTGTCTTGCTTCCTTGACAGTTGTTTCGAGAAGTACGAATAATGAAGATACTGAATCATCCCAATATTGGTAGGAGCCCTGCATTTCTGCAAACTTTTTTTTATTATACTGTTTACATTTTACTTTCTTTGGCTTTATTTGAATGTACTTTACAGCTATGCTTTTGTTTGTTAAACTTTTTTGAGATAATAGGACAGTGAGCATTCAGTAAATGCTTCATTGTCTCACCTCCTTTATTGACTCTGCTTGAAACAAGAATTTTGCTCTGAGGAGAGAAACTGCTCAGTCCAGGAAAGCCTTAACACAAAGTAGGAGATGCTGAGCACTCTGGTTTGTTGAGGGCCCCAACTCCCCTCTGTCCATTGAAGTTACTCTTGAGGCCAAAAAGCATGAGTTTCTTAGGTGAAGGTAGCAAACTCTATTAGTTCAGTCTAGGAAGGACTCCCGCTGACGGATATTTCCAGAAAATTAGAGTTACAAAGTATGTAATTTTCCCTTTCTGCTTTAGTTCTTTCACCTACCCCGCAGCTTTAGGGCCCTACTTTGTGATGACAATTCTTCTGGCTGAGGAGGGCTGGACAGTCTTGTTCCAGAGACAGTTAATGGTCCTGAATTGGCCAGAGGGCTTGTTGCATACAAGGTATGGACGAGGCGTACAAGTTGTTACATGCTAGGCACTCCCTTCTCATCCCTTGAATTGTTTGTTGCTTTTCCAGCATTCTTAGCTTCTGCTGTTTTTTGTTTTCTTGGGGGTGGCGGTGCGTTTGTTTTAAATGAGTGGTTACTATTACAATCTGAGGAAAGTCTTCCAGACTTAACGTTTCTGGTGTCCGCTCGGTTTTTAGTTGGTCAGAATCTCAGATTTGTAACTGGGAGCAGTTTACTACCGAAATAGGGAAGGTTTGTATGATCTTAGACATCTGTGTCAATTTAAACACTAATTTCAGCATGAACTCGTTTGTACAGTGTGCATAAACTTCTGAGAAAATCATGAATTAATATGCTTTATTATCAAACATGACTTAGAAATTAATTTTGCTTTTTTACCCTCAAAAGAATGCTAACCTAAAGGATATAAAGTTTTTGTATGGCTTACTGTTATCACTGTCCATAAATTATACTCACTTCACGAGTGTAATTTTTTGTTTGTGCTGTGCTTTTGCTCCCTGCTGCAATCTCTCTCTCTTATTCATTTTTCTTGCAGTAAAATTATTTGAAGTTATTGAAACTGAAAAGACATTGTATTTGGTAATGGAATATGCCAGTGGGGGTAAGTGGATTCTTAATTCTGCTTTAAGGATAAACTGAAATACAGAAAGCCGTGCCGGCTGCATGCCTAGGAACAATTTAAGGATTTTATGGTTAATGGGTGATTCCAATCTGGCCTTCCTAACAGTCCTAGCATACCTCCCAGGGCAGACTTTCTTGCTTGCATCACGTTCTGTAAAAGAACCTATTAGATTTGTGCTTAAGGGTAGTTACCATTCTGAGGTTTCTGCTGGAATATCAGGAGATAGTCTGGTGCGGATTCTGGCAAAAGCTTGACTCAGTATTTATCTGCTATATTTAGGCAAGCACTGGTGCCTCATTTTATCTTGAAAATGTGTGCCAAAGCACTTGGAGAGGCAGGTCCAGAGGATGAGAAGAAGGAACGCGGGAAAGGGGACCAGCAGGATCATAAAGAGCATGAGGGATAGTGGGTGCCTGCTTGAGAAGCTGCTTAGCATTTGAATGAGAAATGTTTGAATGTGGGAAGGGAATCCAGCACAGGGCTAGTGACCAGCTAGGAAAGGCTGCTTGTCAGACAGTGCAAAGATGAGGATCTGAAAGGCATTTGAGCAGCTTTATTAGAAAGAGAACAAGACGGAAGAAACAGAAGTAATACAGATACTGTTAAGTGAAGCTGCTAGAGACATGCAAGACAAATCTGGTACATAAGAAATTAGGCGCTTGTTTCCCAGTGTGTCTTATATGCATTGTGAATGTTTTTCATGATTAAAGTCAATCTTTTTTTTGTTTCACAGTGTTTTTAAAATAGATTTATTTTAAAAATTGAAGAAGCCTTACTATGAAGGGTTTCACTTTTATATTTCTTGACTATTACATGTCTGAAAAGTGAAATCCAATGCAAACAGTAAAAAGGAATTTTTCCTGGCTGCTTCTATTTCCTTTCCCTTCAAGAAGGGTGGGGGGTGGGGGGATGTTTTCAAGCATGATTTGATTGTGCATGACAGTCAAAAAAATAAAACCTGGGCAATAGGACTGAAGTTTTGTCCTTGTCATGGCCAGGAGAAGTGTTTGACTACCTAGTTGCACATGGAAGAATGAAAGAGAAAGAGGCTCGTGCAAAATTCAGGCAGGTATGAAATTAACATTCACTCTTTCTTTTGTTTCTGTTTATGGTGTTTTCAGATAGACATGAGTGTGAGCATACTTCTTTTACTTTAAAAAAAAATTCTTTTTTGTGATAATGTTTATTAAAGCTGGAGTGGAAAAAATCCCTGAAGAGAAAAATATCTGCTTCCTACGTATTATCTAAAAATAGTAAGACTGTTTTACATTCGTTTTTAGTGGATGTTCCTAAGAGTCACATTTTTTATTGTGACTCACTTGACGTTTTAATCCTTTTCTGAATATTTTAGAATTGAACAGATTTTCTATCTGGAGATGTCGATATGATGGCATGTATTGCTGTGTCATGTCACATTGTTTTGTATGAAGGGTATTCTGTAACAGGTTTTTATATTCTTATTACAAACTTTCTCATCTTAATCTTTTTCTTACCCTGTTTTAATGATTATTTTGTGAAAAGCTTTAATTAGATAAACAAAATTTGGTATTTTTCAGAATTAAAGTATATAATTAACATGTAAAGAAACTGCTTTTAACTTGCTATTTCAGACTTGTTTTTTGTTACACGTATGTAAAAAATGTATATGAAAATATTGAATTAACTATTGTTAGGGATGAATTGCAGAGATATGCTGCAAATATTTCAGAAGATAAAATCTGAGATGATACATCCAGCTATTGGGTTGGGGGGTGGAATAGTTTCCTTTATAGTTATTGCTATTGAGTGATCTGCATTTAAAATAGATGTTTCTCCTGTTACCTTGAGGAGTATGTATTAAACTTTTCTTAAGAAGATGAGCTGCTTTTAGGGACTTTTTAGTATTTGAGCTTTAATGAAACTTACATGAATATTTTCTAAAATGAAAGCTTTATTAATTTCTTACATTCTACTGAATCATATCAGGAGCCAAAATTACTAAATTGTATATGAAAACTTAGTAATAATAAGACTGAAATAAAATATTTCACTGATCATCTTGGTGTTTCAGATTGTATCTGCTGTGCAGTACTGTCATCAGAAATGCATAGTTCATCGTGATCTTAAGGTAGGCTGTTATTATTTTTCATTTTGCTGGCTGACAGTCTAGACTTAATTTCGTTCTATATACTTCTCCTTGCCACTGTCTCTGAATGCCTCAAACATGTGAATGAGGGGAACTATCACTTGTATTTTATTCTCAGTTTTCTGAAACACAAAAATAATGTAGCCTGCCTGTTGGAAGAGGGGAGAGACAAGAATAGAACATGTGTTACTTTTATTCCAGTTCTGGCTTTAAGAAAAAGGCATGGTCTCCAAAGAATTATACCTGCTGGCATGCAGATATGTACACATTGAAGCTGCAGAAGTTCAGTGATACCAGTCAGCACTACTTAATTAGAATATTTTCAGTTAAAATATACTGCAAGATATATAAAACGGTCTTTTCTTAGTGATTCATAAGACATACGTTAGGTTTTTAATCCATTTGAACTTCTGGTTTATACTCTCGTGTTTAATTCAGGCAGAAAAATAAATCAAAGGTAAACAGAAATTAGTTGAACTTCGTTTTTTTGATGCTTTCTAATAATCTATCTGTATAAACATACCCGACCGTGTTAGAGTTCAGCAATTGCAGGTGCAACCTAAGCCTTCAGTCTGAAGTTGTCCTTGTGCCAAGTTTAGATCATGCGACTTGGATCTTCACCTGCTTAAAAGCTGGCTTGTGCTCTTGCTTTGATGTCTTTACGTTTACAAAGAAAACACTGGTGTAGGTTCTTTTTTACTAATGTATCTAAATACTTGGGAAAAGCTGAGGTTGAATAATTCCTAGTTTTTTTTTTCACCAGTATCTTTTGTCTTAACTTTCTCATAATACACTGCAGCATGCTCTCAACCTCTTACTTACAAATCTGTTCCCTAATACCTGTCGATCTGCCGGCTCCTGCATGTGCATATGGTGCTGGATAATACATCCTTTTCTGCTGAGTCTTCCCTGCCCAAGGACCATTGTTATCTGATGATGGAGGTGCCTGGCCAGCACTCTGAAGTCAAAATGCAAGGAAGGAAAGGGCTGGATCTCACTGAAATCTTGATTAAAAAGAAAAATCCCTCCCCGTCTTGCATGGCGGTTTGGAGCCCGTGAATGTTTTGTCAAGCTCCCTGGAGCTTACTGCAGCCACTGTTGTTGAGCTTTCCAGAAGGCTGCACCTAGGGACCTTGGCTTGATGGACAAGCTGCTTTCACTAGTTTTCTCGGCCCTATACTTGGCTGGGAGTAGGGAGACAGCCATCTCCTCATGCTTATCTGGCACTGGTTTGCTCAGCCCAGCTATATTATTGAGCCTTACTGCATTAACCCCTGCAGTTATTTAGCATCCTGCATCTCACTGTTTCTCCCAGAGCCCGTTACAGTCTCCACCCCTCATTCATTTCTTAGTTCCATAGCACGCATACAGCTCACTGCATTGCCCACAGGACTATCCAAAACTGCTTTGCAGCATTTGTGCGGGATCCCTTTTACCATCTGTCACAAGTACTCTGCTGCTGGTCTCCTTCCTGTTTGTCAGGCAGGCAGGCTGCAAAATAATTTCTTTGTTTGCTTTTCTCTCTCTGTCTTCTCTTGGATGAAGTTATGCTAGACTCATTTGAAAAGTTCAGTGTTAGGTGTGATCAAGAACCAGTCAGCCTAGCCAATGAAAAATACATTCCCCAAAGAAAAAAGGGCTAAACGTATGGCTTTGAGGAGGTGTTCTCACTTTGTCTCTTCTTTCCAAACGTTACGTGTCATCTCTGTCTCACTTAAAACTCTTCTCATGGAGCTGCAGAGAAGGAAGAAGCAACTTTAAAGTTGTGTCTGCATTCACATCTGCTTCTGTTGACTTTCTCCATGGTATCGGCACGCTGACCAATTGACACTGTTAGCACTGCAAGGCAGAGGTCTAGCACCGCTTCAGAGATTTTTGATAAGCCTTTGTGGCTTTAATAACAGAAAGGGTAAACTCCATCAAATGTAAGTTACTTCAGACTAAACTAGGAAGACGTGTAAGAAAATGTACAAGTTTGTCCGGGCTATTCTGGCAGAAGAGGAGGGAGTGCAAGGCCCGCGGGTACTTACACTATCTCCTTTTAATTTTCTGTGATTATAAACAGCTCGCGTATAATATATACACACCTATAACCAATTCCAACTTTGCTCATCCTGTGATGCACAAAACTTATCTTACCTTTTCAGTGACTGTTAATACTTTCCTCTCTGAACACGTAACCAACAAGAGCATAGTCTCTCTATTTGGCATATTAAAAAGGGTTTTTTTGGTGGTTTTGTTTGAAGTAAGGAACCTAAAAGTGTGGGGTACTTGGGTAGCAGAGTACTGTTGAACTAGGAGGACTATTGTAATCACAGAGCAGCTGCACTGACAGTAATGTTTTCACCACAAGGAAAATGAAGTCTTTGTGCAGTAATGTAGAAGGCTGTCAGATCTGGAAAATATCTCTGTGAGTCTGTCTGCAGGCACATCAGCTAGAACCAGCTGAGATTACAGGTCACGAATTGGGAAAATAAAATATTTTCCAGGATAGTTAGTTTGTAAAAATGGGCCGTATTTTACTCCTTGTAAAGGCTAAATTCTGTTGCGCAGCTATTGGCTTGATAGACTGATAGTTAATTGTCCCCTGTTCTGTTCATTGAGTGCAAGTGAAATTATTAAAAATAAAACAAGACCAACAGACAAACCGACCCAAACAAAATCATGTTTACCCTTTTAATCAAAGTAACTAACAGATTGATTGCTGCTTCTCTGATCCTAAACTAAGACCTTTTTTTATTTTCCGGGCTCAATTCTGAGCGCAGCATCCGATGAGAGATGTCTGTGTTTGCTATAAAACTGATGTTTGGCAATTAGGTGAATCCTCTGCTCTGGCTAATGTCTGTCCTCCTGTTGAAAAAGAAGGATTCCTGCACTGCTCAGTGCTGCTCCTGTGTTGCTGATACGCAGATCGGGAGCTGGGACCCAGTTAGATGAGTAAATATTGCCCAGCTCTGCTGCAGTCCTTGCACAGCATCCTTGCATTTTGAGAAATGCGCTTTATTTTTTTTCCAGTAATGTATTAGTATTTCTCTAACCTTGCTCTTTTAATCTTCTGCCCTACCTGTGATACTAAGTATAAGATACTGTTTACTGACTCTCCAGGTTCCTGAATACTCGCATCTATGTCTATGTGATGCATTGCATTCACATGATGATTGCTGCACAGGCGTTAATATTCTTAGATGTATACTACATGCATTTTTTCATGCACAATGTAATACTTTAGTGTTAAACACTTTGGTGGTGTTATTGCTAAAGCAAACGCTAATAATAAAGGGGAGAGAATTTTTTGGTACAGAATGCTAAGATACAGCACGTGGCTCGAAGTATTTCATCTTGCAAGCAGATGAGATCTTCTTTTAAAGTCTTAAATCCCTTCTAACATTTACCCCACCAAAATGGTAGATGATGTCTGGGATTAGATTTATGCTCCTTGGCATCAGAAGTTGGCATGAACCTGTCAAAAGCTGAAACTGCTATTCTGAGATATCTGGATACTTCAGTCTACAGCTGAACTAACCTATTTCTTCCAGAAAAGAAAATCTTGATGGTTGATTCACTAGCTGACTTTCAAGTCTGTTTAGCTACTTTTAACAGTTACATTTTCCTGAGTAAACATAGTCGATTTTCAATCTTTGTAATGTATTCAGGGGGTTTAGTTTCTTTTGTTCTGCAAGAAAGATACAGATGGTGAGCCATTTTAGAAAAAGAAACATTTTTGCATTTATTGATAAATCATACACTGTAATATATTGATCTTATTCTGATAGGTAAATTGTCCTTTTCCTCTTTTATTTTTCTCTTAGGCAGAAAACCTTCTACTTGATGCAGACATGAACATTAAAATTGCAGACTTTGGTTTTAGTAACGAATTTACAGTCGGTAATAAACTGGACACGTTTTGTGGAAGCCCGCCTTATGCTGCTCCTGAACTTTTCCAAGGAAAGAAATATGATGGTCCTGAAGTGGATGTGTGGAGCCTTGGTGTGATTTTGTACACACTAGTAAGCGGATCATTGCCATTTGATGGTCAGAATCTAAAGGTACAGTTACAATATGAAAGCTTGGCTTTTACTCTCTTTAAATCTTCTATGTCATTAGTAGGCTCACCTTCTAAAACTTTATTTTAAAGGAACTGAGGGAGCGAGTACTGAGGGGGAAGTACCGCATTCCGTTCTATATGTCCACAGACTGTGAAAATCTACTTAAGAAGCTACTAGTACTGAATCCGATAAAACGAGGCAGCTTGGAAGTAAGTAATTTCATCTTGGAAAAAAAGGGTTTTCAGATTAAGAAAGACTAAAATGCAATAATTGCTTAAGACTTCTTTATTTTTCACGATAGGTACTTTCTTCCTGTTTTAAGGGCCCAAAAGTCTTGTTAAAAAAAAAAAAAAGAAATAGGAAATGTCCCAGAAACAGTGGAGCTTGAAAATAGAAAGTGTTAATGAATGAAAGTCTAACCTTAATTGTAGCTGACTAAAGACTATTGTTCAAGAGTATTTCAAAGTGCAAACTGCTCCCACTTGTTTTGGTCAGATAATGGAGCTAGTTCAAAATGTGTGGAAAGCAGGACAAGACTGTAAATATCTTCTGCTTGGAGTTTTTCAGAAACACAAAAACAGCAGCAGGCAGTACCGTAAGCCTTTTTACTTAACTTACCATTTCCAGCATGACTTCTTAAAAAGGAAAGATACAAGAAGAATAACTGTGTTAGAAAACTACGTGGGGTTTTTGTTTGTTTTAGTGCCATAATACAGATAAACACTAAGGACTCTTTGAATGATAAGCTAGTAATTGCTCGTTATTTCTGTTCAGTCCTTTCTTTTCCCCCTTCTGGTATCTTTGTTTCTGAATAGCTGGAAAATTAACATATATAATAATATCTGGTGTGTCCCTCAGCTAAAATGTTTTGAGGATTTCTACTGAGTTATGATTTTTTTTTTTTGTTAGTAAATTAGTTTTTCTCTTCATGGGATGCAGAGAATATCTGTGCATAATTTGTAAGGTGTCTAAAAGGTTCAGTGTTTTTAAGGGGCTGTTTTGTTCAAGTTTGCTGTGTTGGCATGTACTTGCTGGATAACTCTGGAGCTGTTATTTAGCAAGTATTTTGTGTAGAGTTCACTCTAAATGCTGCTCTGTTCTATTCTGTGAATTCTTTAACAAAGGGAGACTTTTTAAAATAACATCTACTTACCATAGAGATGAAAGTAGAGCAGAAGATAAATAGAATGGTTTTAAAATAGTATTTGCATGAGTTAATCACCAGTGACCTTTGTTTCATCTTTCTATGCATACTTGTGCAGCAGTAAATAGTGTTCCAGAGAATAAATCCCATTTAAGCAGCTTTTTATTTGTAGTGGCATGACTTATGCTTCCTGGCGTGGATGCTACCTGTGCCAAGGAAGCATGCATTTACTGAGCTCTGTCTGCATGCAACTTATTTCAAGCTCATGCTGGTTTGTGACTTGTTATAAATAGTTTTAACTTGAATAAAATCTGTGCTGAAGAGAATAGTGAATGGTGGCTTCTACTTTCCTGATATTCGATATTCATTAATTATGTTGTATTTATTACTGTCTAGAGGACATAGTGATAAGAGCATAGTCACTCAAAGATGGTGAAAGATCGCTTTTTTCCTGTCGTGTTTAAGTTTTAGGAAAACATATTTTCCTTTTATTGAACTTTCCTCTGGATTTTCAGCAGTTTCTCTTCAGATCTAATTTCACTTTCGTTCTAGATATTGTAGTGTTATCCAGTTCTTCTAAAATTCCTTCCTGTCCCTGGAGAGAGGTGTTGGATAGCAGCCTCGCTGGAACGGCTTAGTTGTCAGATTGTATGGAAGAGAGCGAGTAAATGTTATGTGTGACAGAGGTGTCTTGAGCCAGTACCAAAATACTGATGATAACAGGCATTGGTCAGTATGCTAATCTGAGGGAGAGAGACATCACAAACTTTTTTAAAATGAATGTTCCTGAAATCACGTTTATTGATTTAGAAAGCTATGGTACGTGGTTTGGAAAGAAATGACTATTTCTGCTGTCTGAGCACTTCTAAAAATAGGTATTTAGAATGGAAGTATATATTTATTAGAAATTTCTAAAAGTGGAGATACAGTGTCATCTTAGGTGGGGAGGATTTTTGTTTGTGCTTTGTCTATTAATTATTTGCTCAGTCCCAGCCATATACCCGCTCAGTTCCCATGCATGTTTTTCCCAGACCATCCAATAGGATGTTTGTCAGTGACATTAAGCATCAAAGCTGAGACTGACACAGGATCAGTACCGTATGGGTTAGGCTTAGCACTCTTCCTCTGGTAAGGACCAGGCAAATTTTTATTAAAATGGTTCGTCTAGACTTTTTCATGGTTGCAGCAGAGAGAAAATATTTTAGAAGCAAGAGAACGTTGTTGTAAAACAGTAAGTCTTTGCAGGAAGAGATGGGAAAAATGTATTGTCAGAAAACATGTGGATCTCTCTTAACTATCAGGATTTCAACAAATTCTTCCTCCTGTCCCAGTCTTCAATTCCTTGCAAAGCAACACCTGTGTGAAATTCCCACAGAGCAGATTTATGCTTACAAAGAGTAATAAAGCAAATAATTTTGAGACAGACAGGTCTTGAGCCAGGCCAGATTTTTATTAGCTAGTTTTCCTGCAAATCAAGGGAAACCTCATCAATAATACCTAGTTGGTTGAAATTCAGTTTGGGTCGATCTTTAGGAAATGCAGTTTCAGTTAGATCTTTAAGTACCCTGACCAAGGCTGCTGCTCTTCAGTCGGCTGACTGGAAGCCCAGCTGAACTTACACAGATGTAATATTGATCCTGGAATTGGATCATTTGTGTCACTTCAAAATGCTTGATTGTAGGAGCCTGTTTTAAGAGTTGTGCAATAACTCAGTACGCCTATAAGATCATGTATTTAAAAGACAGAAGCTAGCAGAAGTTTAGATATCTAAACAGATGGAAACCTAGAGCAGATTACATTGAACTATAGATCCACCTACTGAAGAGACATGAAAAACTGTAAGTGGGAATTGCTGGGTTTTCTTATTAATTCAAGAAGGATCAAGAAAGGGAGGTGGGATTTGAGCAGCGTGATTCCTGTCATCCAAACACCTCATCATGCTTAAACTTTAGATTTAATTAATGGTATCTTTAAAAAAAATTGTAATTGCAGATACTGCATAGTACTCCTTGGGGAGTCTATCGTGTTACTGCAAGGCTACAAATACATAACCAAAGTCTATTGTCAAATAGACTCGTGCTCTGTGTGCCAGAAATGCAATATAGCAATACGTGTTCACAATCCCTTCCCCTTTATACCCCTCAAAAGCCCTCCAAAAAAATCAATTCTGTGGCAGAACTTTGAACAAATCTTTAAGTCTTATTGTCAGCAAAATGTTAACTGGCCCATGTACAAAGTTCTGTCTTGTTCTTGTAAGGATACAGCTATTTGGGTCTGTAATTTGGCAGCAGCACTACATACAAAGAATTTGGTTATATCAATGGAAAATTGAGTCTTTTGCTCTTTGTGAGAAATAACTTAATTCGGTGATTGCGAGGCATATTTGGAGCCTGTGGGAAACTTGACTTGCTGGCACTTGTTTCACTCTTTGTCAATCTAGTGAGCAATATTAGCATCTGTCCCTAAAGAGGCATGTGTGCCTGTTGCTGTAGGACGGAAAATGTTTTTAGCTGTTTTAAAAAAGATGAGTATGTCCTTAAGGAGAAATTGTGGTGGTGGTTAGGGATTCCAGCTGGTCAATCTTGCAGGCATATAAAAGATCCAGGCCACAGCAGAAGGAAATCTTCCAAAGAACGCAGGAGAAATTTTTAAAGTAAATATCTGCATGGCATAGAGAGAGTTAAGAGGCATTTCTCCCTCCAGCCAAACTGTGAACATATTTAGGTCAAGTGCAGTCAGAAGATCCATAGGAAAAAATGACCAGTCGGCATCATGATCTTGAAATGAATGATTGTAGGAAGCATCAGCACACTCCTGAAATATTCCTTAGTTTCTAAACACTTCTTTTGTTATTATTTGAAGGAGTTATTTATTGTGATAGAGTTGGTATTGTGGTAACATCTAGAGATCTTAACCAAGATTAGGGCACAAGTGTCAGGCACTCAGCAAGGCGAGATAAAGAGATGGTGGAAATGAAGGGCACAAAATGAAAGATTTTTGTGTGTTGAAAGTGCAGATTTTTTCTCTCTAGTTTTTCTGGTATTTGGGTGGGGGGTGTTGTATTGTAAAGGCTAAATAGGAAGGGGGAATGAATTAATGGAAACAAAAGGATGTGAAAGACAAAAGAAGAAACTGTAAGATGTGAGGGGAAAAGGTGGGAGGGAAAGAGCAGCATTCAGATTAGTAGAATTTTAAGTTGTTTTTCCCCAGATCAGCTAGCACAGATTTAATTGGGTATGGTAAATGGCATATTGACCTAAAGCTCATTTATTTTCTTAGCAAATTATGAAGGATCGGTGGATGAATGTTGGCCATGAAGAAGAAGAACTAAAGCCATATACTGAGCCTGAACCAGATTTTAATGACACCAAGAGAATAGGTAAGACTTTTACAAGGATGTTACATCTGATGATATAGACAATTGTATCTTGTAAGTCAAACTAAACTATTACTGAATTTGAGATACAATCTCATTGTACACGTAAAATATTTTCTTTTTATTTAAATGAGAAATTTCATTACAATGCCCTCCTTATAGCTACCCTTGTGACTTCACTGAGCTGACATGAATCTACAAGCACAGCAAAAGACAAGATTACAGAATTCAACAGGCAGAAGGAAACAGATTTTGTTATGAGGGCAACAATTTTTATCCGCTGTGGTCAGAGAAAGATACTGTTGGCCCTGTAGCCATTCGCAGTTTCTGTTTGCCAGTGTTTTATTTATTTGTTTGTTGAATAACATTTAATGTTGAATAATGTTGAACTATGTTCAATAACATAGTTGAGAGTTTTCAAGAAGAAAACAATGAAAGAGGGGAGTTGTAGCCTTTTTGATTCTGCACAGAAAAGATTATGCTGGTTGAGCTGAATCCTAGTTACCTGTTAAATTATAAGGGTTTTTTTCTGTTTTCATTGTCCTTAAGTTGTCAGTAAACCCAAGCACTCACTCTGCTAATGTATCTAGCTCTTTTTACTTTTAGACATTATGGTCACAATGGGATTTTCAAGAGAAGAAATCCATGAATCTTTAGTAAACCAAAAGTATGATGAAGTCATGGCTACTTACCTGCTTCTAGGTAGAAAACCACCTGAAGTAAGTGCTACCTAATTTACATCTTCTATTTTGGCCTTTGTATCTGCTTGGGTTGAATATTCTGGTTGTCGATGTTTTTATGAACTATTTCGTAACATCTTTTAAAAAATTGTAATTTATAACTAATTAATGTCTTTCCATTTTCCTATCTTCTTGGATATATTGTTAGTTCCCATATGAACAAATACATTGAATATAGTATCTTCACATAGATTGAATATAGTATCTTCACATTTGCTTGTAAATACGTTGAATTGCTTTTTTAAAAAGCTAGCCGTTAATCTGAAGTAGCGTAACTTTTAAGTGCTGAATCTTCTTCCTGTCATGTGTTTACAGTTAAAATCTGAAATAGTGGATTTGACTAGAGCAATTACTCTTCTACCTACTAAGATGTGACATCCTTTATTTCTCAGAAATGTACTCATCCTTTCGCACTCGTATACTATACTATAGTATATTTTATTATTTAACAAATAATTGCATTGTAGTCATTAATAAACTTATAATAGAAAATCTCTTGACTGTTTTAGAACTAGAGGGATCTGTAGATCTTTTGGGACCACAGGGATTTTCAAGAAATCAAGCCGAGACCAAGGCTTTCTTTTTGAAAGAATTTTTTTCCTGCTGCTTCATTGGCCTTGCTTTATTTCTAAGATAGTGTAGATCTGATATGTGCATCCTTGAGCGCATTTTCCCACAACATCTCTGAACCAGAATTCCCTGGTGATGGCAGAGCATGGAGGAAATCTGTCTAAAATGATTTTGACTCAAACCGCTTGGAAGAGGATATTTGTCTTTTCCACTGCTCTTACTTACAACTTATGCTTCTTAGATATCGACAAACCAGTGGCTGAGTTACATACTTTATAAAGATGTGTTGAAGGCCATAAAGAATCCTTGAATCAGTAATACTTGCTTTTTTTAGCTCTTCTGACTCAATCCAGTGCATTTTGAAATTGTTCTGAAGCTATCAATGCTCTTTAAGCTTTAAAAAAAAAAAAAAAAAAATGCAGGGGGAGCCATTCTTTGGCTTAGGTTTTAAAATAGCACAGTTTTTGTTACTGTCAAGATTCTTCTAATTTTATTTTGAGCATTCATTAACTTCTTAGCTTTTAGCTGTGTGTTTTTTAAAGCGCATTAAACACAGATGAAGTGATAAAATTAATCTTGAAGAAAATTAAACTCTGGATACAATTTTAAATTTAAAAAAAAAAGACTTCGATTGGAACTCTTCACTTTATTATGCCATAAAAGTACTACTGATGTTGAATTTTGTTTATGCTTTGAAAAACTGTTTTTCTTGTAGTTTGAAGGAGGCGAGTCCTTGTCCAGCAGCAACTTGGGTCAAAGGTCTCGTCCTAGCAGCGACCTCAACAACAGTTCTGTGCAGTCTCCCGCTCACCTGAAGGTCCAGCGGAGTATATCAACTAATCAGAAACAACGGCGGTTCAGTGATCATGGTGGGGATGACATTCCAACAAGTAAAGTAACATACACAATTTAAGTCTGAATGTGCAGTGTTTTGTGAACCCGGCAGGTCCACCACTCTGTGCATTTGTTGTGTATCTCATCGTGCTCCGCTGTGATGCTTTTATTTGTATGAACGCTTCTATGGTAAATCTGGGTCAATGTAATCTACGGATTGAATTTTTTGGACTTGTTACTTGGTTGACTCACTAAATAAGAGCTTGAGGATGTTTCCTGTTTAGGAACTAATGGCAAAATGTTGGTCTGGATAAACTCAAAGGCTGCAAGCCATTATGTTTATCAGTAAATTTGGAGTTGGGGCTAAATTGTTTGTTTCCGAGAGACAACAGTTTTATCAAGTAGTCAGGAAACGTTTTCAGGTGAAAGTGGTTACATCAAAAAGGAGTGCATATTTAAAACATTAAATGAAAGGTGATTTTTCTTTTTTCCCCTCAAAGAGAACCAGCAAATTACTAGACATATTTCTAAAATGTTTGGCCCTTTTCTCTGCCTCACTTACGTTGTTCTTTCTAATTTTTTTTCCCAAGACTATACTCTCTCTGTGTTAGTGTGGTGGTGTTTTTTCCAAAAAAAGTAACCAATATTTTGAAGATCACCAGCTGATGTAATCTTATTTCAAAGGAATGTAAAATTCTACCAATGGAGGATTTGCCCCAAAGCATTTTAAAGAATGATGAGTGGGAAAGAACTGTGACTTATTCCAAGTATAAACATGCTTTTAAACAAAGTAGTTCTAGGGTTTTCAGGGGAAAAAGATCTTTCATAGAGTTTAGAGGAAAAGATATGCGGCAAAAAGTACTAAAAATAATTTGAAAAGTATCCTCTAATTCCTTTTTTCATAATATTGCACAAATTACATGGGTTTAAAATGAGAATTAAAATACTCTTCTAGGTTTTACGTATTGATATGAAATGGGAACTAATTCTGAACTGCAAATTGGTGATGAAGAGTGGGTAAAAAGAACGTAGGCTGTCAAAGAGCAATTAATTTAATAACTTGGTATATATGCTGAGTTTGCAGTCGTAGTTGTTAAAATGCTTTTTTTGGACTCGGGGAATTATATTTAGACTATTTTGGCCAAGAAAAATGCAGTGATTATTTTTAGTTATTATTAATACTGTTTTTATTTGGCAGTTGGTCCCTCAATTCCTCCTGCTGTGTCATACACAAAAAGGGCTCAGGCAAATAGTGTGGAAAGTGAACAGAAAGACGACTGGGACAAAGATGTCTCACGCAAACTTAGCAGCACTACAGTGGGATCCAAGGGAGAGATGGCTGCAAGTCCGCTTGTGGGTCCCGAAAGAAAGAAATCGACTACAGTTCCCAGTGTGAGTGTGTGCGCTTTTGGTTTATTATATTTATTTTTCCCTATTTAAACAAAATCTGCAGCATAAGGTTACTATAGACCTAATGGTTACTGAGTAAGCCACTAAGTCTATTTCTGGTAACTCTTACTGGCAGACAGAAATAGGCTACAGTGGATGTCTTTTAAAATAAACCTTTCCCTTCCCCCCACAACTTGACTTTTTCTAACACTAACGTAACAGTACGCACAAGAATGTCTGCATTTGGGCAAACTGAAGATCTGTCAAGACAAATAGTGGATATTTAGGGAAAGAACATAAGAACAGAGCTAATATGGAGTGCTCTTTTTCTGGTGTCTAATGCTTGTATATCTACAAGGAAGTCAAGGGACTTCCTGAATTGGAGTTTTCATCTGAATGATCCTATGTGGTATCTCTTACGAACTTTTTTCTCTGAATTTGTCCGTTTAGCTTTCTGAAACCACTTCATTTTGGACTTCAGAAATGGGGTGAGGTGAGGGGCAACAACCCACTTGTTCCCTGGCATGTGTGCCTGTTGATGTTATGAGTTACAACCTGGTTCTTGTATTAAGAAATGATTAATTTGCTAGTCCTTCTGTTATGATATCATTCGTAGTTTTGTAAACCGCTATCATATTACTGCCTCAGACATCTTTGTTCCAAATAGGAAAGTCCGTCTCTCCTCATGTGAAAGCATCTACTTTGCCTTGTGGAAGTTCACGTGCGGTAGTACCAGTGTTTAGGATACACAATGAAAAAATATTGCATAGTGTTTAAACAGCTACTTCGGAGCAAGAGTTCATGTGAAGGAAAAAAAAAAAAAATACGCATGAATCATAATTTAAGATTCAAGTATACTTTTTGCTATTTAAGAGACAGGCTGTATTAAAAACAAAAATTCTGGTCATCTTTTAGCTTTTAGTACTAGACGGGCAGCAGGAATTCTTGTTGTCCTCTGGGATTCTATGTGCTGGCTCCCATCTTGGATATTTTGGGAAGATGATATGCATTTCTGCTAGAATTCTCTTCAAACAAAATACTTGCTGAAGTTCATTTAACTCTTAATGTTCTGCAGGCTGTGTCTGCAATATATCCACAGATGCTTTAAACATTGTTTTCAAATTTTAAATAGGT